TCTGCATAGCCTCTATGGTGGATTTATCAGCTGCCAGCATTTACTTAACTGGATATGATGCATACAACAGTTTGAGAAGGGGCACATGCCCTCGGTGCCCCCCTTCACCCCCTCCCCCTCTTGAATATGACACTGCGCAGGAGGAGAAAGTCCCATTTTGCCTACGGTACCCATAGAAAATTCTGCCCAAACGGTCCAATTCGTGATAGGATGCAAAACGGCGGAGCCGACAGTACCCCGTTGCAATTCCAAAAGTGAATGGGGTTAACACCATTGCCCCGTGATCTATTGTAGCCTGATATAACCTGACCTTGTAAAAATGTTAGTATAGCTACGTATGGGCACCGAAAATTGGATAACCGCCAAATCGCGTACCAGTAATGTAACCCAGTGTCACATAATCGCTTTTCATCTTCACACGCACGAAGGCGCTATTTCAGAAGATACATAAGATTTGATACTTCAGTTCGCCTAGGAGACCAAGTAGCCAGGGTATATCAATGAAACTGTGAAATGAAGGCCGAATAACTAGGTGTAATAAATATGTGTGCCACCATCGTATAGGTGGCGGCGCCCCCATATCTAAACTGGCAGTGTTCGCGTATTTAGAAACAAACTTGTCCGATTTTAGCCGCGGTTTTGGGGGGAGAAAAAAATGGCAAAGTTAAGATTGGTGCGCCACTTTTATTTTTGCATTTTTCGGATTTTGCACTTGACGATATTAGAAGGAAAGAGACACTGTGAAAAGTCACCACTCCTAACCTTACGCTTTGAGCAAAGTGAGTGCATTCTTACTACTCATGAATCGGAAGTCAACACGCTTTCCAGCACATAATTTTATCCGTACGAAGTGGTCCAAAAGTGAATATTTCACAATTTTCAACTTGTCATCGTTTGGTCTGTTCGTCGTTATGGTCCATCGTTTCCGTCTCATGTTCGCATCTAGCATACCTAGCGCAGCATTTGTAAGAAAAACATTTACAATGCTGTTATTACGTCTGTTAGCCCCGACTTTGTATCTCCGTGCCGCCAGAAGCCGCCAGAAAACGGACCGTGTTTACACCGGGCGTCCCCCTTTTTGTCGGTTTAGTGGTTCATCCCCTGAGGGTTTGGTCGGGCTACGGGACTGCTGATGCTTAAAAGGGGCCTCCTATACTCGAAAATATGCGTCTGGTTTATAAAAGGGGATTCCAAATTCAGAACGGTGGCCTCCTAGTTCATAACGGTGCCACCTAGTTCATAACGGAGCCGTCCTAGTTTATGAATGAGCCTTCTAGTTTAAAACGGGGCCTCCTAGTTCATAACGGAGCCGTCCTAGTTTATGAAGGAGTTTCCTAGTCCATAACGGGGCCTCCTAGTTCATAACGAAGCATCCTTTTGAATAACGCGGGGCCTCCTTTTTACAACGTGGCCTCCTATTTCATAAGGGGTCTCCAAGGGCGTACTGGTGCCAAACGGTGGCTTTTTATTTCATAGTGGGGCCTCATTGTTCATGATGGGGGCCTTCTTGTTTACAATGGGGCCTCCTAGTTTATTAAGGGCGCCTCCTAGTTCATAATCGTAGCCTCCGAGCCAGCGAAGGGCCTACTTGGCATAACATTGGCCTCCTGGTGTAGTGCGTGGGCTGCCTAGATTACAAAGGCTGTCCACGATCCAGACTACGGGTTTCCTGATGCAGAAAAGTCTGTTGAAGCCCGATTTAGTACTGTCTGGCCCAGCTTTGTGAGCCTCCTTGCTCTGCATTTTGGCAACCCCGTGAGCTAAAACCGTTTGCTTTGGACAAAAGGGGCATCACAATTTATGGTAAAACATGGTTTTGTCCCTTCACCCCCCCCCCCCCCTCCCTTACCGCACCGTCATTGGCTGTAAGTAACGATAGAAGTGTACGTTTGTAAAACTCTGGCCAATCGCCGGGACTGGTCACTCATCCCTAAGATGACTCACCACGAATATTCAGAATAAATGCATTATGTAGCGAAGTTTTGCCAGTCACGGTTTCTAACACGAGAACGAATGGCCTTATGACGTGTGTTGCCTCCAGACGAGCGTGCATCGCGAAGCGGGTCATGCGAGCGAAGCCGGCAGGAATCGCCCCGCCGTCCGCAGTCTTCGGTACAGCCGTCCTCCACCCCCTCGCGCCAGCCGGACAATGTCCGGCGGGGTTCCTGGCTGCCGGAATTCAAACCTGGCAGCTGACAAACCTGACAGCTCATCTGCGTGCTCACAGTCACGGCCGCCTCGGGGCCCCAGAACGGACCTCGAGCTCCGAGACGTTCCGCGTTATCGCTGAACCCGGACACTCGGGTCGGACGACCACTGGGCTGGAGCAGGCCATCTGCCCGACCTGTGATGTTTTTGGCGCCTGCCTGCACCGGTAGAGAGTGTTGCCCCAGTGTTGTCTGGTATTTGGTTGTATTCCAGGCCTCTGGCGGAATATTTCAATGCCTCTACGGGGAAAATGGGGCTGTAGTTCTACCGACGCCAGCTGGCGCGTTCACGGTCCGCGGGAGAGGAGCGGGGGCGGCCGCGACGGCCGGCGTCGGAGCGACGTCTGCTTCGGCGGCCACATTGGCATTCAGCGCGCCGCTCTCGTCGACCAGCTGTGTGGGAAGAATGCGGTGCATGGTGCCGGTGCAAGCGCGGCTTTGACGTATGTCTGCTGTCCGGCGCGCTAATGGGTCTGTCATGTTGGCTGAGGCCGGCAGGTCCATGCGGCTCGGAACAGACAGGTGAACACCCTCCGTGCTACTTACTGCCTTGGGAAACAAGTTGGCACTTCATATACTTCTGCGGACAGACGTGATCGCAGACTCCATGTTAATATCGGGAGGAAGGGTGTGTATATCTAGCGTTAATAACGAGAGAGGCATTTGGTTGCATTCCAGGCTACTGGCGGATTATTTCAGCGCCTCTTCTGGGAAAAACATTGCCGCGGTTCATGTTCCTACTGGAGGCAAAAGAGAGCCGTAACAGCCCACTGCATGCCGCTGTCGGCAGGAGTAAGAGAATATATTCAATAATCCTGATGGGAGAGAAAGGTGGATGCCTTCCATGTTCTAGGTATATGTTCTATGTTTTGAGGAAAAAAGCGGCCATATTCCTTGCCGCGTGAAGTGGACGGGTGGGTACGCTTTGAGCTATATTATATCTCAGTTTATTGACGTATCAATGAACATCCTGCTCTAGAAAACTCTGCTCCAGATCAGGACGCCCCAATTACGAATCAAAAATGGCCTGGTCGGGATTAGGGGGCAACTACTCGGGAGGTCCCTGTTTCGAATCAGGAGGACCTGTGTTGGGATAAGGAGGCTTTTCGAACTAGAATGGGAGTCCCCTAATTCGTAAAAGAGCTCGCGATTGTTGTTTTTTTCTTTTTGCCAGAACCTTTGACGGAGGCACATATTTTTATACCTGCATTGTGATGCACAGGTTTGTCTCCACTCCCTAAATACCATAGGCACAATGACCGCACCATGCATACTCGAGCCGGAACCGCTTGGGTTGGAAAACAAAATGGTGACTGCCGGACTGCCACGTGCTGTTTGTCTTTCTGGGAAGCTGTCATTTAAGCAATCTTAATGTCTGACATGAGCAAGGAACAGCCTTGTCGTGATTATTGTTGCGTGCTTATTTGGTTTTGCTTAATACACGCTGCCCGGATTGAGCCGGCACGTTAGTGGGCTCGTCCCTCTCCAAGAGACATGGCTGGTGTGCGGCAGGTGGCGCAATCCTCCAGGTCGTTAGAAAACAAACTGAGGCCACTACTGTGTCTTCTTACAGAGTCTATGACAGGCAACACAACTAATTTCAAAGCAATCCCTGCACATGCTTATAAAACGTTTGGCTTCTCAGCGACTTAAGACAAACCTGAACACTTTAAACAGTAACTCAACTGTTTTCACTAGGCAAACGTGCAAAATGACTGCCCAACAACGCAACACTTGCAAATGTTAAACTTGTTAGTGTCTTTTAGGTCAGCTAAATGATTATGAGATGCCTCCTGCCAATGGCATGATTTTGTTTTGCTGAGCCTGGCCGCTGTTAATACTGAAACTGACAACTGAAATAGCTGGGCCAAAAAGGTCGCCAGTGAACCGCGCGTTGCCCACACCAGCCATAGCTTGCCCTGGCCTGTCTTTATCATGTTACGCAATTACGAATGGGGCTCGTGGCAAGTTACCCATTTCATTTTGCTTCGACCACCACCACCCTGAAACATAGCACATTCAGCCGAAGCAGACAACTGCCACTTTCACTGATAACCCCATGATATTCAGAGCGAAATTGAACAATCTTGCTATGGCAAAATCACAGATCCCTTTTCCATGGCGGTTTGTAGCGCTGATCTGGAGGCTCCGTAGTGGCTTAAATGCATTCCTCTGTGCCATTATGCAAGGCATTTCGCATAATACGGCTGCCAAAGTACAATATAAGTTAACATTTATTGAGTCATTCATTACAGAGCATCACTCATTACAAATCTCCAGCTGTTGGTGTAACCGCAAATCGCCATATTAAAGTTATATTCCAATTCGCTTAGGAAACATGATTGCCAACCACGTAGATCCCATCAATGAACTAGAATTAGCATAGATAGTAGATACAGCAGTTTAGAGCACATGAATCGTCCTTTTTACGGGAAGCTTGCCTCGCTCGTTTCGTCACATTTGCGCACGCTTCCTTGTGCATGTATTTGAGTCGATACAATGCAATCACGAACCTGGACGTGCAACATATGGAGAAGATTGTTCAACATCCTTGCATATTGCCAAGCAGAACGACAGCAGTGAGCATTTCCAAGCCGAACAAATGCCGACGGTGCTCAATGCTGCATATCCATGGTTGAGGTCTGACAGGAGCCAGACACTTCATTTAGCGGCAATCATAAACCATACGAAATCCTTTATCGCCACCGAAGTAAGGCAAGCGGCGAGACACATGAGCACTTTATTTACGCTTCACCTGTCGGCACTCATCCATTATTGATGAGGCGCGGTCGGTCAGTACACCGCCTCGGCCGCCCGCCAGCTGTGCAGGGTGTGCGCGCCGAGGTACGCCGGCTGACCGTACCGGGGCGACGACGCCGCTCTCCACTCGGCCGCGATGTCCCACTGGTTCACGCCGGGGGCTGCACGGGTCGCCGCCGCCAGGGGAGAGGTCGCTGGGGTCACGGCCACCGGAGACGAGGTCAGCGAGGGGGGTGACCCTGCGGCGGCGCCGCCGGGGACGGCGGGCGAGCTTGCGTCGCCGGGCGCCGCCTCGCCAGGTCTGCAGTGCGCTTTGGCGTGCTTGCGGAGCGAGCTGGGGTGCGTGTAGCTCTTGTGGCAGCCCTGGGCCCTGCACCGGTACGGCTTATCGGTGGTGTGCACGTGCGCGTGCTTCTTGCGGTCGGAGCTGTTGGCGAAGCGTCGCTGGCAGCCCTCGAACTCGCACACAAACGGCTTCTCCCCTGTAATGAGGGAGGGATGGCCGTTACTGTCAGCCGACCTGAAAATACTGCTTCGGCGACCACTGGCAATGCAGGCTTAGTCCATGCTGAATGAACCGGAAAAGCATGGGGATCTTATAGAGGATTAGTGCAGCTGGCTGGAGGACAGCATGAGAAGCTGGCAGTACAATGAAGGGTAGTAATATTATAAGGCGAAGGAGTTGCGCAGGAGTTGTTTAACCTGATCTTTTATGACAGGCGCTAGGCTGAGAGAAGTGTAGTTGGTTTTGCAACTACGTGGCATATACGTCCCATGATTGCCTAGTATCTCCTAAGAGCTTAAAACTCAGAGGGTCCTAACATTAAAATCCTTAGATACACGCGGAAATCACACTGCAATAGCACGCTACTCATCGACTGGAAATGCCGCACTCAGTCAAATCCGCGCCCTCACAGTCTGGAACAGCTCCCAGCTGCGCCCACCACTCTCGGCGTCTTCCACAGGCACGCCGTACACCCAGCCAGTTTTTACATTCGGAGGCATTCCTGCAGATCACCATAAGACGGGATTTATTTGGAATGTCGGCCGCCTCCAGTGGCCAGCGGGCCGGCCCAAACATTTAGCGGCTTTGATCCAAACGATAGCGCCAAGTTATGGCATCCATAAAGTCAGGGGCGGTGGCCGGCGTTGGTTTGGCCGCTGCCGGCGCTGCGCAGGCGTCCAATCCCACAGCAGGATGTTCAGCCAGGTGTCACTGCTCCCTTCCCAGGCATTGTCCATCGCCGGCGTAATGCAGCTCGTTTGCATACAGATGACGCGTCTCGATCACAGTTCCATCAGGCGCGAATTCCGCTGTAGCCAGGTGCGCGCCCTGGGCACAATGGGTTCGTGCTGATCACGTGGGTGAACAAGGAGCGGGAACACTATGTCAGTCAACGTCCCGTGCCTCGGCCAACCAGCACAGGCTGGTTCGGCGAGAACCGGAGAGTCAACGCTGGACCAGGCGTTGGTTCAACATTGCAAACCGGTGTTCGTGAATTTTAGGGACATGAGGCCATTGCAGGTCAGTTTACTGGTAGGAGCTTTTACCTAACGTATGTACAAGGTAGGCTAATTTGTACTAAATCATATCAACACGCATTAGACAAACTGTGTTTTCATGCTGCAGATTTTCAACGTACGCGTCCAATTCAGTGCATTGGCTGCCATTGGCTGTCATTAGTGGCAAGTCAGATTACCGCGTGCAGTTAACATTACTCTTTCGCATAGCATGCCAATAGGCGCACCTGGCATAGAGCAAAGTGCGCCGGCCCGTCCTGCGCTTTCGCTCGCCGTCAAATAAACGCCCATGTTTGTAGCGGAATCTTGGTTCTTTGATGTTGCTAAGCAGCTTTTTAGTTAAACTGTAAACTGGAACACCACGGGAGACTGGCCGGTCTGGTGGTAAGGCGTAGTCCTCACACCGGCTTCGTGGCACAGCGAGTGGTACATGCAGCGAGTCCGAGGCGCAACCCACATCAGGCGCCAGTTTGCTGATAAGGTCCACCATGGCTTCGTATGGTACATTGCAAATTTTAAACGCTGCCAGGCTAACATGCTACCCATCCCGTGGCGTACACTTAGTTGGTGGGGTTGGCGTCTACGCAACAAGCGCACGTCATGAATGCTGCAAAAATAAAGCACGGCCTTTACGCGAAAATTCATGCTTACTAGTCTCATGCATACCTTAAACCTTTTCTGCCAGTCTCATTGCCGGGGTATGGTCGCCTCCGTCGCGCCGTTTCACTCCTGGCCTAAGGTTTAAATTCAATACTGGTAACATTGATAAACAAACCCGGTCAACTGCGATGCATTGGTTGCTGTTGGGTGTTATGCTAACACTGGTGGCCGACGTGGGCAGTCGCTCTCGGGTGGCACTTTAGATGCCCCAAAGTATGCAGATTGTGCACGCTCAGGACTCGAGTGGGACGCTCGCCCTGACGAGTATCACGCAGTGACTCAACGTAATGTCCCAAACGGGCCGGTGCGCAGGTATGAGAACAATGTGCGAAAGTGAACCTACAGCTGTCACGGCGCTTGTACCACTGCTCCGTTTGCGCTGTAACGGCATGTAATGACGCAATGAGATGTTGCATTTCATGAATTAATACCTGCGCTTCAGCCGCGACAAATCACCGAAAAATGCGTTCAACCACCAAGCTGCATTTCAGCGGAAATTGTTATCTCAACACTAGTAGAGTTATCAGTTTACGTGGATAAATGTATGTGAACAAGCCTACGATCCTAGCAAGCATTTCTACTAATTTGAACAACAGATCGGCCTGGGCGGTCTGGTCCACCCCAGCTGTCACGCTGTCTAGAGCCGGCAGCTACGCGACTACTGCTCACAGCCTCATGGAGCTTTCAATAACAAGTAGGGCACTTAGAAAAATAAGCTGCACAAGTTTGAAGTTAATTGCACACAAGCTGTGTACTCAGGCTCGAATTTTCTGCAACATTGCAACGCGGAAAAATGGTAGACTTTTCCGTCTGATTAGCATGAGAAACGTAAAGTTGATTGGTTTTGAAAATGTCGCACAAGACCGTTCAGATCTTGACGGCTCTGCATCGCAGCGACAAGAGAACAACACCGTTGAACGGAGCAGAGCACGGACAAGCGTGCAAACAAAACTGTTGTTTGGTGTTTGGTCATGCGCGCTCAGCGCATATGATGAGTCCGCCTGTGTTTATCCACGCTTTTAAGGACTTGTGCCAGCCCTCAACAAACAAAATGTGTTAAGAGACATCTTCAGCCACACGCTGTCGGTGAATTTATCGTGTACAAGCCAATGAGCGATTGTATTACCGCTCGACATATAAGAGCGCCAGTATACCTCTTTTAGGAAGCGTCACCGCGGAAACTAATGTGTTTGTCGATGATTTTGATGCTTCAAAATCCATGTAATTTAACTGACAGCCTGAATGGCTTAATGTGAGGACTTGTCGAGTACTCTTCCAGGTCTTGTGAGTGCGTACCGTACAGGTTGTGTTTACTGTCACGTCTTTTTAATCTACCGATTTGGTATGTAAGCAAGGTGGACTCTGTAGGCGATGATCTTAGTAAGCCAGCCTAAAGCTTAACTAATCCACCAGATGTAGGTCAATGTAGCCTTTTTTCGAAATCGGCCACGAATACAAAACGCTATGGTCTAAACAGATGAAGATCGGACATTGATAACTGCGCGGGCATGCAGTAGCGCTTACTTTCATCATTATACACGCGACGTATGCGTGTTTACCAAAATAATTTGGTTCCCACCCACTACAAACGTAATGCATTACCAAGCTACCAAACTCATGGTCTGAAACGGCTGGACCTGGCCGACCCCGAGCAACTGAAGCCATGTACAAACGGCTGTGACGTAGGTCAAGTGTTAAGTCGGATCCACGTCACCCACGTTAAGAAGTGTACGAATGATACACCAGTCAAGCTCTGGCCGTTAAACTGTCGTGAACGAGACAGACTTCGCAATTCATAGACCATATCCACTTGTATAGATTCACAGGTGTCAGGCTTCATTTGTTTGGGCTTGGTACCGACATGCTATGATATCATCTACGCCAAACGCATTGATGAGCACCAATCTTGTTATCACCACGCTCGCCCGACGCCGCACAAAGGTAATAAATAACATAAATGAAATTCGGCCCTAATTTATAAAGAAGAGAGGGCAAAACACCTCAAAACACCCTCAAAAGCAATAGTGGCATTCACTCGCCTTTCGCTTCAACCCAAGGTAAACCTGCGTGAAAACACGACCCGGCGCGTGGTGAGGCGCCGGGTGCGCGGCGCGCCTGACCCCGCATGCCTGCCCCCTGCCGGGGCGAGCGGCGTGAGAAGGGTGGGACGCGGCCCAGCCGGGCGCAGCGGGGGCGGGCGGCTCGCCCGCTCCGGCCACGCCGGTCCATACCTCACGGAAAATGCCAACGTCAGCACGGAATGCGGGCCGGGGGCGGTCGGGGGAGGGCCCAGCCGCGGCACCTGTAGCCGGAGCGTTAGCGAGCCGGCGCGCGCGCGCCTCCGCTCTCGCTAATTAGTTCAGGTATTTATGACCGGATCCTGATCTGTTCGCGGGTCGTCGTGGGGCGTGCGGTCCGTGGTGCACGTGTGAGTACTGATTGGAGCGGGGCACCAGTGAGCTCATTTGGGAGGCGCAGGCCTGGATTCCGCGACAATATGAAACGAATATATCAAGACGCATGTGCCTGGTGTGGTAACTGATGTCGCGTTTTCCCACGCCGATGTGTCGCAGATAGACGCAACAGCAGCCGGTGTTGGTCCCGAGGTTTGGATTGCGCCTGTGGCGCACCACCGCTAAACGTCAGCTGATATGATCGGCTGCAGCGTCATGCTCAAGATGCATCAGACATATCGTGAGTAAAGTTACGACCATGACAGCCACACTCCTCCCAGCCCTCCCGCCACTGACCCCGACGCCACCGATGTGCGCCGGTGGTACGTCGCTCAGGGCGGAGGTCAGCTCTTTCCATGGCCGGCGCTGCAGATGGCTGAGCTATCTCCGGAACGATCCGCAGCGTCCTAAGTGGGTGGACTGCAGTGCGTTCCGCGCCGGGCCCGCCACCCGCCAGTCGGGCGCCGCTGTCCCACTCAGATCTGGATCGGCCAGTGCGCTGGGTGGTCGCGTCGTCACGACCGCAGCGACGGAGCGCCGCCCCCCAGCCGCGTCCGCCCAGCGGCGGGCGAGACGGCACCGGTGGGCTCCACTTCGGGGCGAACGGACGCGGGACTGAGAATGCCAGCGCGAGTTGCGCGTTCATTCTTTTCATTACCTCCATGGACGTCCTGCGGTTGTAACACTGATAATACAGTTGCATTTGCAACATTAGGACACAACATAAAGATAAAAGTCCCACCCACGCGAGCGACGATCTGGGTCAGCTCTCGTCTTTGGCTGAGATACTTACTGAGCGGACGGTTACGGTCAGGGTCAGCCACGGTCACGGTCAGCCATGTTTTCCT